ATAAATATATATATAAATATAAATATATATAAATATATATATAAATATAAATATAAATATATATATATAAATATATATATATATAAATATAAATATATAAATATATAAATATATAAATATAAATATATAAATATAAATTAGAGGTGGACAATAATTCAAAATCGATATATATGGCAATATACTTTTATTCAATAACCATGATATGAGTTTTAAGCACATTTCAGTATTTCACTGACACTTTTTCTGTTCGGGTTGAAGCAGCTGCTTCAGTTTCAACCCAGACAGAAAAAGGTGCGACACAACTACGTAAGTGTGTGGTGACGTAGATGTTACGCAGAGCTCGAGTCCAGAAGGCTGTAGCAGGCTAGGCTAAGCTAATCTCCAATGCGCGTTAAGTTTTTGCTTCAAAATGAGTGCCCATGACCGTCAGAATGTGACTGAACAAGCTTTCACAAGAGAAGAGAAAGCAGATGACATAATTGATAAGAGAGGAAAGACTAATTAGTCGGTGTGGAAGTGGTTCGGCTATTAAGATCCGATAAACTGCAGGTTTCAGTCAGTGTGCTGCAAAATGTGATGGAGAGTGGTTCCAACTAGCGGTGGGAACACATCTAACTTGTTTCATCTGAAGAGTTTCCACTCGATAGAATTTGATGAGAGTCAGAAGATGAAGCACAATAAAAGTTTGAGCCAACGTGTCCCTGAAACAACACCCCCAGCTGAAAATGAAAACATTTGACACAACTGCAGACATTTCAAGACATGGCTGTTCAACTAAACTGACAAGGAGAGCCTTAATCCGAGAAGTTCCATGGTAACTCTGGAGGAGCCGCAAACACCCACGGCTCAGTGGGACAGCCGGTTCACAGGACAACTTAGTTGTGGACTCCACAAAGCTGGTCTTTTTGGACGCGTGACGACAAGAAAAACTTTGTTGACGGAAAACCATAATAACTGAACACGGAACTTAAGAACTGCTTGTAGTTTGTCACAAGACATGTAGGAAACACAGCAAACATGTGAGAGAGGGTACTCTGCTCCAGCCAGAACAAAATTTAAGTTTTTGACTTGCATGTTCAACAAAGTTGGAGAGGCCAGACTGAGATGGTTTGGACATGTCCAGAGGAGGGACAGTGGTTTGAACGTGTCCAGAGGAGGGACAG